CACAATTACTCAATATGAATACTACTCTCCCTCTTCCCCTGATGGCGTGCTGGGAGTAGCCGACCCCCCCCCGCGTGTTTTTTTACACACAGGATTCCCGGGAGTTGGGTTTTCGCCTGCATTATTTTCAAAATGCTGCTCTCGCTGAGGCGCCGGCCTCATTTTCGGGCCCCGCTCGTTCCGAATCGTGCTCCCGCTGCAGCGCTGGCCTGCTCCCGCTGCAACGCTGGCCTCATTTCCGCGCTTCCGCTCGTTTCGACTCGTGCTCCCGCTGCAGCGTTGGCGTCATTTCCAGTGCCATGCCACAGCACACGCGCACACACGCACACACGCACACACACACACCAACCACCACCACCACCACCACCACGCACGCACGCACGCACGCACGCACGCACGCACGCACGCACGCACGCACGCACGCACGCACGCACGCACGCACGCACGCACGCACGCACGCACGCACGCACGCACGCACGCACGCACGCACGCCACCACCCACTACGCACGCGCGCGCGGAGCCACAGGTCCGCTACGACACGCGTCCGCGGATAGAGAAAATCAGCGCCATGGTAAGGGATGGGAGGGAGGGGTAGGACGTCAGATATGACGCGAGCGCACCTAGCTTGTCCTCCTCCCCCCCCATCTCCCCTTCCTCCTCCTCCTCTCCTCCTCCTCCTCCTCCTCCTCCTCCTCCCCCTCCCCCTCCCCCTCCCCCTAGTCCGATTTTCGGTTAGCTTGACCCAAGACGTCTATAGCACGGATTGCCTTCTGTCTGCTACTCTATCTGCTGCTAACACATGCCTGGAATCTACCTGGATTATGACTCTGGTCCTCCTGGCTTGTAAGAAGGATCACCTTAATTAACACACACAGCCTAAGAAAACAAACATCAGAACTAGCTACCGTTCCTCGGACCCTAATCGAGCAAAGCAATCATTCTGCCCTAAGGGTACTCAAAGAAATCGAAGAAAAACTTATCGATGTTGGAATAGTCGATGAACCGCAGCTTCAAGTTTGAAATATAACCATATCTGGTAACATTGCCCATCAAACCATGAGCCGTAAGAGTAAAATCATAATCTGTTCTGTCCTGTCTGGGTCGTCTAACTTCAGAAAGATGCGGAGTACGTAATCTGTTCTCTGTGATTCAGTCCATGTCCTGCAGTCTGGTCGCCATGCATACTGATGGTGATTCTGCCCAAGAAGGTTTCATGCTGATCAGGTCGCTCTCGGTCACCGTCACTGCTGGAGCATCGATGGTTGCCACTAGGCACTCGATGCCCTTGGTCTCCACACGCCAGTAGCCGTAGGTCAACAGATCGTAGAGGATCTCCGATATCATACTCTTTGTCAGTCCATCTGCAACCATGGCCGAGGTAGGACACCAAAAGAAACGCCTGATATAGCCACGAAGCCGATCTTCTCGTACTGATAGCACGTATAGTCGTTGATGTCGATCTTGAGGTACGCCCTTGAGGCCGACGCTGAGCTCGAAGAAATCTCTGCAATCTGTCCAGTGGTCGATAGGTATCATGAACTCAGCGTGATCCTGGAGCTGAATCAGCTGCGCCATCGTGCTGCCTTCATGTAGAGGAAGTTGGATGCCCGGGGCAAACAACTCCGTCAGTCGCACAGCAATCATCTGTGCCAACTCTTTGCCAACTACACCTGCCAACGTCTCAGCCCGTGGCGTGCTGCCTGAAACTCTCTTGGCCTTATGAGATAGCGAAGCTATGATGTGGCAGAACTTGCTGAGCTGCTGCTTGGAGTCGCACACCTGCTGGTAGTGAATCGACGTCGCCGGCACAAACTGCACGCGCTTGTCCGAGCCCAACAAGATAAGTACTGCCTCTTGAGCGTAAGAGCTTCCTGAGGTAGCTCCACTCGAATCTGCCACCGTGTCTATCACGAATGGTGGAGAGATCTTCGGAAAGTAGAGCCCCACGTTTGCCGAGTACTTCTTCACACGAGCTAGTAGAGTGTTGGCCATCTTGATGTGCTTGATCGTTGCTGATGCCGTATTCTGCTGGATAATGACCGTATCTGCAATCGCGCCCAGTCGTGTCTGACATAACCACAGCAACCCGCCCAGGAGTCCGCGACATGCCTTGAGCTCCGTGGAAGTAAGTGGAGAGTCGTCCTGAGCTGCTCGAAGCATGCCGAGAGGGACTGGCTGGAGGTTCTGACAGAACTCGTCCTGAGACATTCGAATGCCGAAGTCGGTCTGTTCATGTCTGACTCCCACGTGGTTCATAGGTGGTTGCTGTCTAGTAGCTCCTCCGAATCTATCCGAGAACTTGCTGTAAGACTTGTTGAGCCACTCGTTGCTGCTCGCGTTGTTGTTGTCGTCAACATACGAGGTCGCAATTGCCTTGAGTTCTCCTGGGGATTCCATCCAGAAGTAAAAACAGTCGTCGAAAGCCGAGGGTCTGCCGCCAAGCGTCTCTATCATGAAGATCTGCATGACCACCTGGAATGCCAACGGTGCGTCGTTCAGACCATACATTGCCTTGAGACACTCCAGAGCCCACATGTTCCAACTGCCTTGCTGTGAGGGAACGTGATACGTCTTGGGGTCGATGTTCCTGAGATGTCGCCAGACGTTGGCTGGTGGAATGATGTACACCTGTCGCTCTGGAGTCTTGATGCCGCGCTTGCGCAAGACCTCGTACATGTCCTTGAAAGGTAGTCCCTGCAGGAAGGCGCCCGTGACGTCCCAGCTCTCGATGGTGAAATCATATATCGCTGCCAATGAGACCAGAAGCCGCTGTGACAACCGAGTCGCCGTCGTAGCTCGCTTCGAAAGTGATGCACCTTGACCGTCAAGAAAGCCTCTTGCGCACAGTCTGCTCTTGATGATCCACTTCATCTCGTTGCCAACCTTGATCTGCTTCCACTTGCGGACCCAGACGCAATCAACTGGATCCTGCTTGCACTTGCTCATGGGTATCGGTTTCCACACAGTCGCCTCGACGAACTGCTTGATCTCCTTGAGGTCTGCTGCTTCGACCAGGTCAAAGTTTTCCACCACGTCGTTAGGCTTCAGGATGAGCGAGTCCGAAGCCGATGCGAAACACTCGCCAGTGAGGATGTCGAGATAAAAGCAATGATCCTCGAGGAAAGGTCCATCAAAGGATATGTAAGCTTGGCTGCGTGTCCAGCTGCTTGGTAGTTCGTCGCCATCAGTGAGGTTGAAACCCTCGACGTCTGAGTAGAAATGTTCAGCTATGAGTGCCTGCTGCTCCGTCATAGACTTGTGGTACTCGCCCCCGTAGTCCTTGAGCTCGGGAACTAAGTCGATGCGCTTGGTGAAGTACTGCTGGTGCCCAATCAACTCCTGCCAAGCTGAGCAGTAGAATACTTCAGACGATCCAGAGTAAAGGTCCTCAGGCTTGATGCCATGGGCAGACCGAGACCTATCATCATGTTCAGGGTTGTAGTCGATGGTCTTGTCTTCGTCGTCGTCCCGAGGCTGCTGCTGAGGGTACTCGATCGTCGCGTCCGGTAAGCTCTGCTGCAATGGAAGGTGAACCGATCTGGACCGCTCGTCGTCGTGCTGAGGATACTCCAGAGTCGGCTCTGCAGCTTCAGCTGCTTGATCAGGGTGAGATGGATACTCAATTGTAGGTTGATCAACTGCTTCTTGTACTTGCTCTGGTGGAGCTGGATATTCAATAGTAGGATGTTCCGCTGCATCCTGTGCTTGATTCGTGTCCGTGTCGAGCCTGCGAGACCTGCTCCAATCATGGTCATCGACTGGGTCGGTGCCTTCACCTTGAGCTGCTTCGGCGATAGGCAACACAGGACCCTGCTCGCCCGACGATGCTGCCGCCTGTGATCCGCTCGATGGTGCTGAAGATGAGCTCATACCTGGATTGTCGAACTTGGCGCGCTGATCTCTTCGTTCACGCATGCCGCGTTTCAGGATGGATGTCTGTGTCCGAGATCTGTCGTCGTCACGTTCACGAGCTTCTGCCTCTGATGTCACAGGGTCTGATATAGACGCGTCCAAGCCCACTGGTGAGCCAGGAAGCGCCACTTGTCGCCAGTCTAGTGATGCTGGAGCATGAGGTGCTGGAAATATCGGTGTCGTTGGAATCTGCTGCGGTGGTGCAGCTGCCTTTGGTGAAGTCGGGGTTCGACTTGGTGCTGGTCGTCGCGGAACAAACTCTTCATCAGATATGCTGATATCGTGATCTGCCACCACAGCTCGCTTTTGTCCACCGTCTGGCACAGGCCGACCTGGACGATCGTCTGGGGGTCGAGGAGGCGCAGGTGGCGCCAAGATAGAGGTACCAGACCTTGACACTGTCTCAAGCGTGCTATCCATGTGCTGCGACTGGTCATTCGGTGAGAAAGCCGAACGTGGTAGCACTGGCTGTCGAGGTATCTGTGGTGGTCGTCCTGGAGGCTGTGGTGGTTGAGGAGGCTGTGGTGGTTCACCTACTTCCATGACCGTGTCGTCGTAGCCTGGAGGCTTCCACCACTCCGTCGGAGTCGGTGATGACAAAACTGCGTAGGAGGTGTCCAGGGCGCGTCGTCTATCCGCTCAATGCTCGAGATGTCCGAAAGGTCTGGTGCTGCGTCCTGAACAACCGTGTCCTCGTACTGCTCTGAGACATAGATGATGAACGAGTAGTTGCTCGGCGCGTCTGGCAAGATAGTCGCCAGCCGCAGAGTATGTCCCAGGTCCACTTGTCGTACTTGGTAGCTGAGTCGATCTCGTCGAACCCATGCTAGGATGACTCCTCGATTGATGCCGTGATAGGTGTTGATGTTGTGCAGTTGCGTGCCGAACCTGATGGCCCTTGGAGCCGCCAGCTGTAGCATAACCTCGCCTACTTGAGCTGCCAGACGAAAGACCTCGGGAGTGTAGATCTCGAAGTCGTTCGGCACAACAATCTGCATACCGCTGGCGTCGTGAACCATTCCAACCGTGATCGTGGTGCCTGGTGCCTGGCCATCAACGATGTCAAGTAAGCCGTGCAATGTCGTGTACACATCGTCATGCATGTTGTCCTGCCATCCACCTTCTCCGTCCATCAGCATGTGAGTCGGTGGGCACGCCACTGTGACCGCATACGATCGTGCCTGATGTGGTCGCACATGCCTGAGCGGAACGATGTATGGCATGGACTGGTGTTTGACGATCGATCGCCACGTTCTCCTTCAGGTTGATGTCCAGTAGGTCGCACGGTCCTCTCCACCCGGGCGCGTCCTTGCGATCAGGAACTCGGTACAGATCGACGAAGTCTTGCAAGGGTCGTAGCTTGGCCACGTCTGAAAGGATCTGCACCTTGGTGTTGTTAGCCTCTGCGATGCGCTGCTCGATGACTGCCTTCTGAACTGCCGCCTTGGCCATCATCCTGAGCCTGAGGTAGGACTCGAAGGTGTCTGGTGTCGTGTCGCGCGCGCCGTCGATGGCAAGAGTGGAGTTGGAGCCGTGATCAAAGAAGCCACGAGGATTCTGTCCTTGCAAGCACTGAGATGGTGTGTATCCACCGTACTCAAGCATAAAGTTCTGGCACGTCGTACACTCGAACACTATGTCCTCGTCGGGCACCACGAGACCTTGCTTGGCCGCACTGGTCTTGCACTTCAACGACGATGTCTTGATGAGGCCGATGTGTCGTTCTGCAAGCCCCGTGACTGTGTGCTTGCCTGAATCATCCGAGCCGCCCAGCTGTCTGTGTATGCTGTAGCGGTCGCACACCACTGCAAAGTCGTCTGAGCGAACGCCGCCTTCTTGATCGAACTTGATGCACTTAGGAGGTCCGAAGTATCGAAACCAAGCTCGTAGCATTGCCTGGGCTATGTGGAACGCGTCCTTCTTGGGTAGTACTTCGGCCAACTTCCATCTGATCGCCTCGTCGACCATGAGCAGGAAGGTCTTACCAAATATGAAGAAGAGGTCGCACACCATGACTTCGCCGAACCAACCTGCCAACTCTGCTCGATACTTGGGCTTGGTCGCTATGGGTGCCCAGTCGTTGCACTCCTCACATGCCGCAATGACCTGCTTGGCCAGCTCCAGACACTTGTCCGGTACACCGAGCCGCCTGAAAAACTTCTCCATGCCTGGTAGCTGCTCGTGCCGAAGTCGTTCATGAAGACCCTTCAGCAGGCGGAATCGTTCGGCGTCGGACTCCGTCTCCTTCAGCTGTTGCCTCAACTTGGTGAAGTCGAAGCTCGGAGGTGTGGTGATGAGCTTGAGCCTCGGTAGGATCCTCCGCTCAGCGTCTTCCTCCATTGTAGGTGGTGGTGCATGACCTTGAGCCACGATAAGCCACTTGTGTCCTCGAATGCCGTGATGCTGCTGTGCTGGAGTGAGTCCGTCAAGTCGTTCTAATGCCGAAGATTCCCACTTGTCGATATCTGCGCCGAGGAAGGTAACTCGAAACGGGCTGTCATCTATCGAGGTGGTGTTGGATGTCTCCAAGCTGTTCGGCTGAAAGGTGATGTGCAGTGAGTCGACGTCCATCAGTGGTCTCAGGAGCTCGATCAACATTTGAGCGGTGCCGTCGGTGTTGTCGCCCAGGTCGAGCTGCTGCTGAGTATTGGGCGCTGTGAGTATTCCTGTGTGCTGTCCTGCCAGGTCTGCAAGAATACGAGCCAACCATATCTGATCCAAGTTCTTCAGCTGCTCGTGAATGTTCATGGTGAAGTCGTCTACCTTGACTCGCCGTAGCCGGTCGTAGGCCAGCTTCATCTTGACAGTGCCGTTGGCTGGTCGCTGTAGTGGTTGTATTTCTCGCGTCGCAGGTACTACGGCTGCTGCTGGTGCTGCTGGTGCTGCTGCTGAGCTTGATGCCGAAGCCGAATTTGATGGTGGTTGTAGGATGTTCTCGTCAAAATTTTCTAATGGTCGTGGATCGGGTGCTGGAGCCGGTGGTGCTAGCTGTCGAGGTGGAGCTGACGCTGCTGGTGCTGCTGCTGCCGTGGCTGCTGGTGCCTTGGCCGCTGGTCGCGTCAACGTCCGTCTGGGATCTGCTTTAGGTGCCAGCTTGCAGTTCCCTGGAATTCTGCTGTGCTCACGCTCGCCGCCGTACTTGCACTTAGGGCAGGCCCAGAAGATCTCCGTGTCGTTCTTCTGAGTGTGTAGTCCAGTACTGCCAAAACCATTCTTGCCGCGCTCGGTCTCGTCCTCGTCGATGTGGTCGTTGAGCTGTACTGGTGGAGTCTGGATCTGCACGATCATGAGCTGAGCAATCCTGTCGCCACTCTGGCATACAAAGCGAGACTTGCCACGATTTTCCAATATCACGATGAGCTCACCTCTGTAGTCAGCGTCGATAACTCCTCCGTTGATGCCGAGACCTCGCCTCAACGCCAGGCCCGACCGAGGCCATAGCTGGCCAGCAGTGCCTGCTGGAAGTGCCAGCTTGAGCCCGGTGTGAAATCCACGCCATTGTCCAGGTTCCAGAAAGCCGTCAGTAACCGTAGTGATGTCGTATGCCGCCGCACCGTCGCTGCCGAGCTGTGGTGCCGTCGCCTTAGGGTGAAGTAGCTGAACTCGCACTGCTTCTGTGTTCGGGCCTCCGTGATGTATGTCGATGTTGCTGTACACAAGCGTCGCCAGCATCAGAGCGCAGGTGAACTTGCGCGCGAAGGAGGTGATGTCGCTGATGAGTGCCCGGCACATCGTGCGAGTGTATACCGTAGTAAGAGCTGCAGTCTTGGAGCTCGTGCCTGGTACTGAGCCCTCGATAACTGCATGTCGTTGAACTCCATGACCAGGGCATCGTCGGATGGTCTTCTTCAGCTGTATGTTGGCGTCGAGCCTGTAGGGCTTCTCCAGCGGTTCGTTGTTAGTGTTCACGCAGCCGTGAGCACATCCATCGACTCGCCGAGTCCTATTGCTGACGATGTCCTGATTCTGCTTCAGCGGTGACTGTGTCCAGAGCTGGGAGCGCAAGCCGTTCTCGTTGATGTAGCCATGTCCGTCTTGATCTTGAACGACGTTGTCGTGATAAAGCCACTCCAACATAGGAAACTCTGCTTGTCGTTCGGCTGCTGCAACTCCAGCTCCTCGCATGTTGCTCATGGCTGTCCATAGCCTGCAATCTGGAGATGAGAGCTTGACTATGGGCTTGAAGACGGTCTGGACCTTGCTCACCAGCTTCCGATGCTCGGGGTTCATGAGGTCCCAGCCGTAACGGTAGTCGACTGGAAAGAGCACTGTGAGTCCGGACCTTACTGCTGATAATGAGAGCCTTCCTGATCCAGACCACTGCTCTTGAAAAGCCCAGACTACTTGAAGGCCATGATGAATGTGAAACCACTTGTCGAAACTGTCTGGAGTCACGACCTCGTAGCCTGTCTTGGTGTAGAACTCCTCTGGGATGTCCTTATATCTCTGCTTCAGCCACGCCACGTGCTCGCTGGAGAGGTAATCCGGGAAGCTGTCCTCCACGTAAACCTGACCGCCCCAGTGCCGAAGCATGCCGTGGTGTTCAGCTGTGCCAGTGAATATCGCTGCCCTGGTAAGTGCACTGTCCACTGGCGCTTCTTGTCCGGTAGTGCTGCCGTCCCTTGGCGCCGAGGATGTTGACGCCATGAGGTGTGTCTTCTGCGGAGTTGAACTCTGGTCCTCCTGGGCGCAAGAGGAAACAAATGCCGCAGTATCTGCCTTGATCATCTTGGCGTTGATGTTCTTCACTGTGTGCGTCAGCATCTCGACCACTTGAGCTGAAACTGCTGGTTCCTCGCGCTGCTGACCTTCGGGATCGTCCGTCGGCAACAGGTAGTGGCTGCTGTCCGTGAAAAGGACCCTGACCACATGCACGTCCGACGGGTCACTGTCAGAGGCCAGCACAAGAGCTCCATTGCCGTCATCTGTGAGTCCATGCACGAGTAGAGCTCTGTAGTGAACCAGAGGAGGCAGCGGCAGCAGGAACGGGCAGTTGGAGCCGCTCTCGCCGATGAGGTCGCCGTGCCAGACCAACTCGAGACGAGAGCACCGAGCCTTCTGTGCCACATGTCCCAGTCCAGAAGTGGGTCTGCCATTGATACCCGTAAAGCTGCCTGATCCTGGGGTGATCTTGTAGTTCTGAGTGTCCTTGCCATTGTGCTGCAGCAACGTATCTGTGCCGCAGATGCCAGAAGCCGCTCCAGGGTCGATGATGAATCCTTTGCGCTGTCGACCTCTGACAAGATGGTACGCCTCGAAGGTGTCCTCGCGCTCGCTGAAGATGCTGAGGACAAACGCTGAGTTGTTTTTGTCGATCGAGCTTGAGCTTGCTTCTGCTCTGCTGGTCGATCGCGCTGCGGGTAGATCTGGGTACTGCTGCTGAGTAGGGAGGCCCAGCCCGAACATAGCATGCTTCTTCTCGTTCCGAAAGAACTTCGAGACCGTCGCCTCGCCGAAGTCGAAGATGCGCTCCTGCGTGGACTTGTCGCCCGAGATTGTGGTGTGAGCGTCCGAGGCCTGCTCCGAGGGGATATTCTGCCAGGAGCCGGCGTCGCTCGAGTTCGGTCGAGTCGGAGGTCGAGGCGATGGTCGCCATGGATCTGACTGCTGTTCGAACCAGGGATCCTTGCCGTCATAGCCTGCGATGTCCTTTTCAGTGGCCATGCCGTGAGTCTCCTCCTCGATTCTCGCTTCTTCTTTCCTGATTGCCGTCAAGTATCGTTGTTCTGCCACTGCTCCTGGATGTCGGGTTATGCTGTCGAAGCCGTCCGAAGGTGTCGAAGGAGGTGGCAGCGCGATGTCTGTCGCCGTCGTGTCCTTCGCGGTGTTGGTGCCAAGTCCGACCAGGAAACCTTTTCTGCTGGAAGCTTTGGTTGACCGGGCAATCCTTCACGCTGTGCCACCGGCTGCCGCACTTGTCACATCCAGAGCTTGATCCTGAACCTCGCGTGTTATGTACGGCCGATCCTGCTGGAACTTGAGGTTGCTGTCCAGATCCTTGATGCAAGTCCATCACAGGGCCATGTCGATCATCCGAGCCTGTACCTTTGCCCTTCTTGCCTTTGCCTTTGCCCTTACTCTTGCCCTTGTTACCATAATAATCGCGTCCTCGCCGATCCTTGCCACCTGCCTTTCCACGACCAAACGTGCGTGATCTGTTCTTGCCTTTGCCACCTTTGCTTGAACTCCTGCGACGAAATCCGTAGCCACCTTTACCATTACCGTAGCCTTTGCCTTTTCGTCGCCCTCCGTATTTGCCGTAGAAAGCCAGATCATGAGGAGGGCCGTCGAGTGGGTCATCGAGTAGAGCTTCTTCGTCATCATGATCTTCATCCTGTTCGTAATCTTCATCATCTTGATAATACCATGCCTGAAACTCGTTTGCACTCCAAGTGCCGTCCCAGCAATCAGAAACCATATATGAAAGATAATCCATGTCCTCTGAAGCAAGGTTGAGGTAATATGCCTGCTCGTGGGTGTAGTCGTATATGTACCAGCTTCCGTCGTGAAATACTCAACCTGGCTGTATTCTGGGTCTTCATCATCATCATCATCATCATAAGTCATAAAATACCCTGCGTGTCGCCGTCGCCGATCTCCTTCTGTCCTTTGCTGAACTTCATCAACAGCTTCTAAATCTCAGTGAACTGGCTCCTGTCGCCGTCTACTTTGAGCATCAGGTCGTCTATGAATCTCGGAGCCAGTCCAGCCTTGGCGAGCAAGAGGTGTGTCAAACCGACTTGGTTGATGTTCAGCGTCGCGTGCTCTTCTGCTGCCTCATATCGTAACTTGAAAGCCGTTAGATAGTCCAAGAGCGAGTGCGAACCACGATGTAGGTCGAAGAATCTGTCAAGGTGGAACGCCTGCAAGTCTTGACTGTCGTCGCCGAGTGCCGTTCTGAGATCCGCTAATATCTGCTGCAGTCCTGAAGGTGTGGCCAATAGGCCAGCATTGAGATCCTCAGGTTCCGCCAGCGCATTCACCGCCTCGTCCTGGTAGAGCATGCTGCCGTCCTGGCGCCTGAGCCGTATCTTCATCGCGATGCGATAAGCCGAACCCTTCAGTCTGCCAACAACCACGCTGCCCTGGCAGTCGCCAGGGATGTCTGTCATTCTCATCCAGAGCCGCAACTTCTCCTCGTAGGTGATCAGCGAATAACTGCGAACATATGGCCGCCATCCTGGCGGGCACTGCCTAGTATACTCGTCCAGCGGAATGCCTCGAAGGTCTGCTGAAGCCGCCATAGTGTATGGCTGATGTCGTACTTGTAGATCTTGATATACTCGAAGGGGTACTTGTCAACGACGAGTCGCTGACCTTCGCGAGCTGCTCGGAGGAGCCCCCGCGGTATTGCTGCTCGAAGATGTGTTCGTATGTGTGAACTGTGGAGTAGCTGAACTCCTCGATCTCCTGCGAGCAAGAGATGAACAATCCACGAAATACGTAGAGTACCTGAGAGATCGTAAAGTGAGCTTTACGATATCGAAAGGAACTACGGGTCCGAGGACCGGTAGCTCCGCTACCAAAGTCCGATTTTCGGTTGGCTTGAACCAAGACGTCTATAGCACGGATTGCCTTCTGTCTGCTACTCTATCTGCTGCTAACACATGCCTGGAATATACCTGGACTCTGACTCCCCTCCCCCTGTCCCCCTCTCCCTCCCTCTCCCCCTCCTCCTCCTCCTCCTCCTCCTCCTCCTCTCCTCCCCTCCTCCCCCTCCTCCTCCTGCTCCTCCTCCTCCTCCTCCTCCTCCTCCTCCTCCTCCTCCTCCTCCTCCTCCTCCTCCGTCATCCCCCCCAGTTAACGCAGGGTGAGC